ATAGTATTCATTCGATAGTTCCCACTACTAGTTTTGATGTCAATATGCTTCCTATTTGTCGGGGACTCCACCTACATGTGTTTCAACTGTTTTGAAGAGTAATAACTTTTCGTCCGTACCTGTATAGAACTACTGAGTTAAAAACTCTACATTTCCTTGACTTTTTACGTAAAAATGTCTCTTGGTAAAAATAGCTGCGAGCAACCGTTCTCAAGATATTTAGAATACATGTTATTATTGACGAAAAATAAACACGCTGAGTTAGATAGTTATTTCACTGAAATAATAAATTTGGGATTTTTTTTTAAATTAATCATAAATTTTTCTGCAAAAATGACGATCAAACAGTTTCTTTTGAACTATTAGCACAAAACATTTCAAATTTATGATTTCAGTCTAATAACTATTTAGTCAACATGTTTAATTTATGTCAATAATGACAGGTATTGATAATTTCGATTCTAAATATCTCGAAAACCATTACTCGTAGCGATTTTTACCAAAAAGACCTTTTTCACGCAGAAAACGTTGTAAATGTATATTTTTTACTCAGTAGTTTTATACAGGTACGGATGAACCAGTTAAAAAACTCTTCAAACCAGTTAAAAAATATGTAGGTGGCGCCCTCTACTAGTAGAAGTCATATTGACATCAAAATAAAATTTGTCATGTCAAAAACTCCCAGAGACCAATTTTCATCCAAATATTGACGTTACTTCAGAAATTATTTGGAAAAAATCGAAATAAAATGAAACTTCAACATCCCGTATCTCTAATATATCCGAAACTAAGCATTTTAGGACATACATTTATACGAATTTTTACTTATTTTTATCTGCAGAATATGCTGCCGAAGTTTCCAGAATACAGTTTGGACCACCCTGTATAAGTATATCAAGTTTAATGCGTAAACTCAGATTTTTATAAACTGTAGTATTTGGCACATTACAGTACAGGGTTAGAATTTAGGATAAGTGGGAGGGGGTTAATCTCTGCGACCTTACAGATCTATTGTGTCCCCCTTTCTTGAGTTATAACTCATCATACAGTCCCAGGACTTCCTACGGAGACCTGTGTCCTTCACAGTCGAGGAGCTACGACCCAGGCCGGGTAGACGAAACGGTAGCTTGTGTCGCCTGTTGGGTTTAGAGGTAGGATGTAGGCTCCCGACCCTTGGAGGAGGTGGTAACTTGTATGCCACTTGCGGAGGATGGTCTCACGCAAGTGTCACCCACCTCTCCTGTAGTTCTCTTTGGGTTTGGCCCCTTGGAACTTTCATTGTTACTGTTCCCAGTGTTGCTAGGGGGTTTCCCCACAGCTTCACCGGTGATGTTTTTATTACTATTATTACCAGATCTCATAGTGTTCCCATGAGTCGCTAGGGACAGTCGGTCCACTTCTACAGAGCTTTGCATGTAGAAGTAAGGGGTAAAATACAATGGGGTGTCCCCCGATGCCCCAAGGTTGAGGCTGTTCGTAGCCCCGCTCGGTGTCGTTATATGTCTTGGTGCAATTCCCTGGCCACGACACTACAGTCAGGGACAAGACGATGAGTGAGATGCTTCTTAAACCAAGCCAAGCGCTAGGGGGGATTCCCCCCAGCACCTGACCAGGAGCTTCCCCACCAACGACAAGACACAGGAAGACAGTACAGGGTTTATCGAAGGGTTGTTTTTTCTTACGGCTTTTTTTATAGCTCGAAATTATTGCACAGGGTGTTTTTAAGTTCAGGTAAAAGAACAGTCCTTCCATTGACACTGTTTAATAAGCCAAACACTAAAGTTTATAATAAACTGAGTTTACGAATTGAAAATTGATATATTTAAATACAGTTTGCTAAAAAATATATATAAAACTATTTTACAGTTACTAGATTCTCATAGAGTTTCTAGTTACACAATAAATTATCTTTTAGTGGTAGGCATATCCCAAAATTTTGAATAGCATTATGCAGTCATAGAGGAAGTTATCTAAAAATAGTGATAAATTAGAGATGTAATAATGGGTTTCAAAGCAATAATTCTGTATTGTATCCAAGGAGTCAGGAAAGATTTTGACAGACAATATCCAAGAAATGACAGAAAATACAATTTGCCTGTGAATTAGAATGATAGACACAACTGTTACTGTCACAGATTCTCTTATTGTCATGAAAAATTATATTATTTGCTAATTGGAAATATAGTTAATTTTTGAAATATTGGGGAATTCTTAGAAATTCCAAGTCTATTTTTATATCTTTTTCAATTAGTATATTTTCTTTTTAAATAATATAAAAATATACTAAACGAAAACATACATAATAATATCCTTATTAACGTAAAAAAATATCTGTCTCAATTCTTCAAGCATATGTAAAATATTATTAAGTCACTTTCAAGTCATTCCTAATTAATTAAAATAAATATAACGAGCACAAAAATATATAAATATTTATTCATCTTCTTCGCCTTTTCGGGAATTCTAAAAATAAATGCTTTAAATCAAAAATAAACTTATTTCAGTATAAGCTTATTATATAAAAAACAAGTAGGTTTAAGTACCTATATTTTTGTTGTTGAAAATGTATATTTTTATAATTTATTAAAGACACTTTATGTTAAGAAAATTAATCAATAGGAAACAGTCATTAAGCTAATTACTAGAATGCATTTCAATAATTTTACTCATATATTGGCTACTTGCTAGACCCCCTCTTACTTGTTTTAAAAATAACGAAGAAATACGCTTCAATAATAATTGATCTTTTGGTTGTCAAATTCTTATCATCTTGAGGAAAAAATTACAAACAAATCAGTTTGAGTACATTTTCCGCATTTCCTTTTTTTTTAAATTTCGCTTACTTCTAAAATATTGATAACACAACTCACAAGTACAAGTATCCAACTAAGAATAGCTCTCGGCAATATCTCTGAAAGTATAGTGCCTACGAAAAAACATCTTGATAACTAAATATGCCATGAGAAATTGCTGGAAATTATTTTCAAGTTTGTAGAACGGCCGCTAGAGGGTGCAGCTGATGCTATGGAAAATGGAATTTTTAAAAAATTTGGCCTAGATAATGGGTACTAAAAATCAAAGCTTTATAATATTCAGTAAAGTTTCTATTTTATAATACATATATATTAATAAGCTTTTCAACGTAGACACTGGTGGGCGCTTTTACAAACTTGAAAATAAATTCCAACAATTTTTCGTGGCCTCTTTACGTTTACATTTTTTTCCGTTCCCTACGGCCAATACTTTCCGAGATACAACCGAGAGCTATTCTTAGTGAGACACCTTGTACCTGCTGATACTGCTCTGTACAGGGTGGGTCAAATTCGACGCTTTTAAATGGAAACACCCTTTTTTATAGGAGATAGACAAAAGCTAATATCAGAGTCTGGAGCTCAATAATTTTTGTCAAAATTATGATAGTGAAAACCGCATATCAATATCTGTTACCGTTTCAGAGTTACGGGGTGTTTTTCAAAAATATGCATTTTTAACAAGTCGCTGTAACTTTTTTGCTATGGAAAATTTTGTATTTTTATGAAAACATTTCCAAAGCACCATTTTACGTAGATTTTAATGGTTTAAGTATAATTTTTTTAAAATTAATAATTTAAGGATTATCAACAGGAAATTTGATTTTTTTATATGGGACACCCTGTATATTTTTAATTTGTTGAAAAGAATTTAAAATTACCTTTCCAAAAATATAACACACTTGATATTTTGCTCGATTCCTCTTCGAGATATAGAGAATATAAAAATTCGCCGGCTTTAAATAAGTAGGTTTTGAACGGGGCACCGGCTAGGTAAAAATTCTAGCTGTGAGCATCAATTAAAACGAAAATAATATTTGCTACGAGAGATGCAGAATTTTATAACAATTTAAAATATATTTAACCAACATCAACACATTTAAATTCATAAACATCAACACATTTAAACTCTCATAACTGCTAAGTATTTCTAATTCTTGTCTAGATTATACGGAAGAATAAAGAACCTTTATTCTTCCGCAAATATATCCATAGGATTAGATCCATGGGCACTAAGTCAGGCGGCCTCGACGGCCAACGGCTGGGATCTTGGTTAGCTATTCAATAATTCTTGAAATTGGCTGCAAAAATTTGCTGATAACTTCAGCGTTCAGAGACGGTGCGTCGTCTTGCTGGAAAAATATGTTTTCGAATTCCATTAAGGGCATATTATTAATAACGGGTCCAAAGCCTACTAGTTAAAAGTGGCGAACTTTTAAAAATTCTGTATTTCGAAGGGGATTATAACAAAATATCAAGTGTGCTATATTTTTGGAAAGGTAATTTTAAATTCTTTTCAGTTAATTAAAAATATAGAGGGTCTCTGAAATAAAAAAATCAATTTTTCTGTTGATAACCCTTTAATTATTAATTTTAATAAAATTATACTTAAACCATTAAATTCTACGTCAAAAGGTGCTTTGGAAATGTTTTCATAGAAATACAAAATTTTCTATAGCAAAAAAGTTACAGCGATTTGTTAAAAATGCACATTTTTGAAAAACACCCCGTAACTCCGAAACGGTAACAGATATTAGTGTGCGGTTTTCACCATCATGTTTTTGATGAAAATTGAGCTCCAGACACCGATATTAGTTTTCGTCTATCTTCAATAGAAAAGGGTGTTTCCATTTAAAAGCGTCGAATTTGACACACCCTGTACAGAAAAGAAGAAATTGTAAATTTAAAACACTTAATATCCCCAATATTACCCAACATAAATTAAACAAATTTTCAAAATACACCTTTATAAACGCAAATTTCTTTCACACTAAATCCCATTAACAACCCTCAAGTCCCCGACGCGTGTTTCAAACCAAACACAACCCCCGTTTTTCACCGCTAGTTTCCCCAACAAACCCCCGTCTCACGTGTATGCCACACCAAAGCCCATGCGCCCGCATTTTCCTCCACCTTATAAATAGCGCTCGGGAACGCGCAAACCGTTTAGTTTTCCCTCGAACTTTCCACGAATTTTCCCCGATGATTGTCGCTTCGCGCCGAAACGATTTCGCCACGATGTCACCGGTTAATTCCGATAATTCTCTCCTGATACTGAGCGTTCAAGACGGTTCAGAAACGTCCGGGAATGTCTCGCCCCTAACCCCTTCACCAAGAAGCGAAGTTAAAGGAATCAGATTGTTTAGAGTGATAAGCAGAAAACTTGCCAGAAGATCGACAGAAGATTTTCAAAGCACCGACGAGAGCAGATCATCGAGTTCAGACAGTTCCTCTTGCTCAACATCTGTAGGACACACTTCACGCATCGAAAAAGAACGTTCTTTATCACCCAATCACATATCATCAAGCTCGAGTGACTCAGGCAGCGATATCCAGACGCTGAGAAGCCGACATCACCACTCTACGTCAGCAGAGAGCTTGAGGAAAGCTTTCCAGAACCTGAATTTGTACAGTAGGTCTCAAAGTTGTTCCAACACGAAAGAGTTAAAGAAGAAAAAAGAAAAAAGAGTTCAGAAAAGTATCCTGAGGACACCAACGAGTTATGCTTACTTGAAAGGAATGTCTGGGTTGCCTACTCAAAGGATTCCTCGGCATCAACTTCAAGCCTACAACAGTTGTTCGTGTAGCATGCATTATTTAGGGAGTCTGCAACGATAAACTTTGTGAAATATATCAAGTAATTTTAAGGGTAGTTTTAAACAAGAAAAAGACTGTTAATGTTATAATGTATGAGGGTTGTTGTCGACTGATTTTTAATGTACTATAAGAAAATTTCGTTCACTAGTTTTTAGGTAAACTAATCACCTTGTAAATATCTGTTTTTATAACTAACTGGTCAATCTACACCATATTCTAAATGTATATTTATAGATTATAAGGTTTAGGGACTAAATTTTTTATTACACTGGAAAATGTAGTGTGATATCACAAAACTGTTCTTTTGTTTGTTATTGTTTACTCTAAGCACTTTTATTGTTCACCTGAATTATACCACGTAAAGGATATAAACATGAAAATGTTTCAATGAAATTCTTATTAAAAATTGTATTGATTTTATGTTTCCTACTGTAAAAGTTTGGAATTATAGTGCCTTGTAGAGGTCCCAAAATAAATAATACTAAAAATATATTTGAATGGTTTTATTTAACAAACTTTGGAAAAAAAAATACCAAGGTAACATCGAGTATAATATTACATTTTTGGAAACTATACTGTCATTTTTCATAATTTTTTTGTTATACTTATACTATTCTCTACCTATCCCTAATAGTCTCCAAAAAAAACATGATTTTGAATTAAGTAAGTATTCTTAAAATGTTGAAATCATTAATTAAGCTTAAAAAATATTGCTTGAAAATATTAAGATTACTTCTAGCATTGTCCGTATCATGCTGTACGTAGCCCAAAAAGTAGATGGCTTTTTCTGCCTTGCCATGTCGCTGAAATATGCCTTCAAGATGTCTCCAAAACAATATTCTTAGCATTTCTTTCGGCACACCATTTTTCGTATACTTTCAATGCTATTTCATATCGCCCCCTGCTTTTCTCTGGAAGTAAATTGGCTTCTGCTCTTTTTGCAGCTTCTGTAAGTTCTGGCGGAGTACCAATATTAAAGTAGTCTTCATTATCAGAACTTTCCGACAACATTCTGGCTTTCTATGTTATGTAAATTCGAAAAAGCGAACGAGAAATTCAAAACTGTCACTTAGTTGTTTGTTTTGCTGTTGAAGGTTTGCGCCATAACAACCACTGGTACCGGTAACTATAGATATGGAAATGCCAAAACAGAAAACGACAAATTTTCGCATATTTATATTTTTTTCAAAATAAAATACTGTCCCTATTTTTTTTTAATTAATGGTGTGGTTGTAAATAAAATAGTATGCAAACCTCGGAGGAAAGTTTTCATTATTGTCTCGAGATTTAGTTAATCTCTCGACAGTAATGAACCACTTCCCTCCTAAAATTCCCCAATTTTCTTTAATTTTAAAAATATGCATATTATTTTATAAAAATCGATACTAATAAAATTGATATTCAATCAAATATTTTGTCCATAATTAGTTTTTTTGGCAAAGAAAAAACATTAAATTTATTCAACGGTTCACATACACCCGGGAACTTATTGAAGAACCTCACCTGGTAATAACGTAAAAAACAAAAAAAAAACTATATTATTACCAACAAACAAAAAAAAACAAATAGTAGGTCTTTGACTTTGGGGATATATCAATTTTCAGTATTCGTTTTTTCCTCTAGTCTGGTAAATGAACTTATTAATCTTGTATAAGACAAGCTATCACTTTCTTTTTTGTGTAATATGGAACTTATAAGTCCATAATATTATTTAAACCCGAAAAGAAACGTTCATAATACATTATTTTCATATTGCTTTCTATTTTTTTTCTGCTGTGTTTTTCTGTCTCATTGGTTTGGTTACTTGGCTAGTTACTAATAATTTTTAGGGATATCACGATTTTAATGTTTGTAGAAAAAATGTTGTTTGCAACTCGTGCGCGAACTACTTTGGTGATCTCGACTAATTTTTCAAAAAATTCAAGTATTGATCACCAAAGTAGAACTTCGCGCACTAGATATAAAAATAACTATTAGTTTAGCTGATTTAATTTTTTTAACCGTCTTTAAATATGCCGCCTAAAACGAGAAACTCCTGTATGTTAATAATATAAAATCTGTGGGTAGTTTTACTCTATTAAAATGGACTTTACTAAACGCTGGAGTATTATAGGAACAATACAGAGCATACAAAGTTCTTATCATGATCTTACAGCTTTCATATTACGTCCCGCTTGTTATATTTATAGAATAATACATATAATCGTAACAGATATAATCTTCTAGAGTCATTGTCTTCCACCAACCCCATTCAGACCGACTAGAGACGTAGAAAATGGCGGAATCTCAATGGTTAAGTGTTTTGTACGTCGGGTGACGTCATGCGTGTCTCTATCGTCTCTAGTTCTTTCTCAAATTTTATATAGTCTTGTTTAAGATAATTTTAAAATTATGTTAAGCAGATAGAAGTGAGAAGTAACTTGCTTATATGGTGTTTTAGAAGAAAGGGAGTAGTTGAACGCTTTATACACTTATCGGTATATTTTTTTAGCAAGAACGGTTTAAATTTTTGAGATTTTTTTGGCTTCCTTAATTTTTGAAGATACTGACTTTAACAAGAGAAAGATTTGACTCCTTGTTTTTGGGTTGTTTCAACATTCTCATATCCATCTCTCAAGACTCATATCCTAGGATTATGTAAAGTGATCTGGAAGGAAGCCAAAAATACAATAATATACAGGGTGTTTCATTTAAAATAATTCATCCCAATTCACTCACACTTTTCTGAGCCACCTTGTAGAAGTGAAAACATTTTCCTGAAATAGATCCAAACACATATAGTATTTTTAATACCCATTTAGAATAACACCATCCTTATTTATTATTAATAAATCAGTTGAAACAAAAAATTACCAACAAAAATGAACGTCGATTATTAATAATTTGTTAGATGTCACGTTTTTGAAGTTACGTTTCACGTTAATGTCATAACGCAAAATAAGATTTAAAATGCCATATTCTGATGAATCCAAAAAACTTATGCTTAATGTAGTAAACTATTTTCAAAACGATTTAGGATCTCGATTTAAGGCAATTCAAAAAGCGTCCGAAGCACTAAAAGTTCCAGAATGCACATTATATAATCTTTGAAAAACCAAACAGAGCTTCAGATTTCGAATTTAGAAGAAATATGTCTGCAAGCGTTTCCCGGAGCAAAATCCGAATTACAAAGAATACCCTACATTGTTTGAGGGAAGTAATTTACAAAATGTATGCGCGAAAGGATAAAATCACAGTAGAAACTATTTTCCGGCAATTTATCGAAGAATTTCCAGAAACTAAGATTTCCAAAAGTTCGTTATATTTGGGAATTAAAAAAATGGGTTTTCATTTCAAAAAACGGTTATTGGAAATGCCTGGAATCAGATTAAAAAGAATATTATTTTTGAACAAATACCATGCTGCTAAAAGCGAAAAGCTCCTTACACCTGATTTTCTGTAGAATTTTTACTTAAACGAGCCCTTAAATAAATATTATTACTGCTTGCTCGACTTCTTGTTATATTATTTATTATACTTTTAGTGCTTCAGACGCTTTTTGAATTGCCTTAAATCGAGATCCTAAATCGTTTTGAATATAGTTTACTACATTAAGCATAAGTATAAGTTAAGATATTCTTTGGTATAAGCCTTAAATCGAGATCTTAAATAATATAGGTATTTTTTTAAGAAAACTCGGTATCTAGTTAATAAAACAATATTTTTAAAATTAGTGCGCTTCTTCTATATTTTTTTTATTATGTCAACATCTTTAGAATTTCATAAAATTAATTTTTATTATTATAAACCGCCACTGATAATATGAAATTTCAAGTCACTCCGCCAATGCAATAAGAAATATGTCAAGCATTTGACATGACAAAGGTCATAACCTAATTTTTTCATGCGGGTGTAGATGGTGCAAGAAGCCGCATACGTTAAGTTACTAAAACGGCTGGTACCTCTAAATAGGTATTAAAAATACTTTATACTTTAGGTTCACCTTTATACAAAATTTCCAAGTTTTTAAGTTTTTTATTCTAGGAGCTACAGATGCCCGACGCACTTTTGCCAGACCCTGTATGCTATAAATGTCTAAAGTTTGACACAACTCTTAATAATCAATCAAATTTTCATTACTTACATTCTCTTCCATGAGCAAATTCAAAGATTCTTTTTCAAAGTTAAAAGAAAGTATGCAGAATGATACATTTAAAAGACGTTGTTCTAGCATACGCTCTTCAAAATATTTTTTAGATAAAGAAGATTTAGATAAACAATTTTTGACGGCTGTGCAGAGAGACGATCTTCATTTCGTTAATTATTGTATTGAAATCGGTATTGATGTTAATTGTGTCAATGAGAACCATCAGACTGCGTTGCACTTAATTGCAGAAAAAGGAAACAAATGTATAGGTACTTTCGAAATAATAACATTCTAAAACTAGGGAAATCCAAAAGATGCAAAATTTATTTGTGTTACCTATATGTGCATATTTTTTGGCATGTTTAGATTTCCTTAGTTATAAGATGCAGCTTTATATTTTAAGACAAAAAAAATGATAAAAATCATAATTAATATAAAAAAGAATTGTTTTATTTTATAGGAACTATATTATTAAAAGCACCAAATATAAACATAGATGCTAAAGATAGCATGGGAGACACTCCCTTGATGTATGCTGTTTCTAACGATCAGCTGAAGTTTGTCAAGCTTCTGTTGAAGAGCAAAGCAAATCCAAATATGCAGAATCATTTTGGTATATTTCTTTTTCTTTTTCTTTTTCTTTTTCTTTTTCTTTTTCTTTTTCTTTTTCTTTTTTTTTTTCTTTTTCTTTTTCTTTTTCTTTTTCTTTTTCTTTTTCTTTTTCTTTTCATTTTCATTTTTATTTTCTTTTTCTTTTCTTTTCTTTTCTTTTCTTTTCTTTTCTTTTTTCTTCTTTCTTTCTTTTCTTTCTTTTCTTTTCTTTTCTTTTCTTTTTCTTTTTCTTTTTCTTTTTCTTTTTCTTTTTCTTTTTCTTTTTCTTTTTCTTTTTCTTTTTCTTTTTCTTTTTCTTTTTCTTTTTCTTTTTCTTTTTTTATTTATTTTTATTTTTCCGTTTTCTTTTACTCTTTTTTTCTCAACTGATTAGATTTTATATATTTGACTCTTTTTGTAGAAAAGACTCCTCTCCATATAGCTGTATCACAAGGTGACGCCAACCTCGTCACGGCATTACTGGACTATAATGCTAATCCAAACATGCAAGATGCTTACGGAAATACACCACTATCATTAAGCACTATGGAATACCATAACGAGAATATAGCAAAGATTCTTCTGATGTCTGGTGCAAATCCGGATTTGGAAACTCAGAAACCTCAATGCTTGCTTACAGGTTACCATTTTATATAAATTTGTAATGGTGATGATAAAGCAAAGCAAGCATTTCCATTAACATACAAACTGGATAAAATTTTCTCACATTTATGTCAGCATGAGAAAAAACAATATGGCGATATTATTATATAACTTGGTAATATTTGAGGGGTAGTTTCATCTCGTTCGAATTTGACTTTCGAAGAATCAGTTTGCCAAAAATAAGCTTTTTACGTCAAGCAGTTTAAGCAGAATCGTGGTTAATCAATTGCCTAACTTTTTGGGACACCCTGTATGATTTTTTTAAAAATTTCAAAAGTATTGTTCAAGCGTTTTCCCGAAAGACCAGCCGTTTTTTAAAAAACAAATATTGTAATATTTGAGGGGCGTTTTCACCCTCTTGGAATTTGGGATTTAAGAAACCCCTCCTTATCGAACCCCTACACCCCACAGTTAATCCGTTGGCCAAAAATCAGCAGATTAAGCAGAATAGTAGTTGCAGACTCAATGGTCATATTTTATAAAACACCCTGTATAAATTTTTAAAAAATCTTAAAATATGTAAAACAACAAAACAAAATATACGTGTTTAAGAGTTTTTTCAAAAAAACTCACCGGTTTTTAAACAAAAAATATTCTAATATTTGAGGGGTGGTTTCACCCCCTAAGAATTCGAGTTTCGAATAATCGCTTCTTATCGAGAACCTTTACACCCTAAAGTCAATCCGTTTTCCAAAAATCAGCTTTTTACGTCAAGCGCTTTAAGCAGGATCGTGATTAATCAATGACCAGATTTTTCGAAACACCCTGTATATATTTTTAAAAAATCTTAAAATATGTAAAAAAACAAAATAAAATATACGTGTTTAAGCGTTTTTTTTTCGGAAACTTGACCATTTTTTAAATATAAAATATTGTAAAATTTGAGGGGTGATTTCACCCCCTTGGAACTGGAATTTCGAAAAATCCCTTCTTAACGAAACTCTACACCCTAGAATCAACCTGTATGCCAAAATTGAGCTTCTTACGTTGAGTGGTTTGAGCAGGATCGTGATTAATCAGTGAGTCAGTCACTTAAGGATTTTATATATTAGTATAGATTAGGAATATCAATAATTATCTCTGCTACAGGATAACTCTTCATTTTCTGACAAAAAAAATAAAACTGGTTGTTAATGTTGAATTAATTTGGCATCTAAAAAGAAAAAGAAAAAGAAAAAGAAAAAGAAAAAGAAAAAGAAAAAGAAAAAGAAAAAGAAAAAGAAAAAGAAAAAGAAAAAGAAAAAGAAAAAGAAAAAGAAAAAGAAAAAGAAAAAAAAAAGAAAAAGAAAAAGAAAAAGAAATACACCAAAATGAAATTCTGCACATTTGGCCAGTTTAACGCAGGTTCTCAAGTGCAAGAATTCACCGCTATACAAAAAATCCCACTTCTGATGTAAGGAATCTCTTAAATAATAATATTGTTTCCACGAAAATAAGTATTTAATAGCAACAACTGATCTCTACAACGGATTCTTATTGTATAATGAAAATTTTTCGTATTCTTACGTAACGCAGTTTTTTGGAGACTGACACAGGTTAAATCATTCTAATGTTAAGAGAACTTATAGATAACGGACGCATTGTTGCAGGACCCTGTAGATCATTCTACTTTAATTCAATTAACTTGTGTTCTTGGTGTGTACAGTTTATCTACTTTAAGTATTGGATTGGACTATAAAAAAAATGGCTGGTCTATATCGGATATCGGAATTCAATTTAATTTCTTTTGTTGTTTGTTACACAAGCCTAAATACGGCGCAGTTTACAGACAAAAATATATCATATTAAATCCGTTTGGGCGGAAACATCAATATTGTTTTGTCTGGAAAAAGCACACATTTGTTTTACCAAACAATCTGATTGTTCAAAGGAAAAACAATGGAGATTTCAGCTTTTAATTTCATATTTTATTCTTTCTCATACAGAAAATCTGTTTAATTTCCTTGACAACAAAATACGCATTATATAAATAAAAGGTTTAAATATTCCTCTAACTTGAAATATACTTTTTTCCATAGCAACTGTTAAAATTGCCTCATATCTATCAAAAATAGTAGTTAAAATAGTACTTTAACCGCAAGGGTAGATTAAATGATACTTTATCAGCGAGGATAGGTTAAAAACTTTATTTCTTCTCGCACGTTTTTTAATTGCTTCCATTTTTGAAAATTTTTAAAAAGTTATTCGGGATTTAAATGGAAGTAGTTTGGATATGGCGTTTGTCGCCTCAGCCTGAATATCTGTTGGTAATTTACTTATTTCGTTTTGAGGCATTTCTGGCTCCAATTCAATCAGCAATCGACACGAAAGAGAATTAAAAAATATTGACTCAAAACTGACAACTAAAGAGACAGCTTTATTTATTTGTCAAATTACATATAAACCAACGGCAAACCAGTACAATATTTTTGCTACTCGTAATAAATTCCTTGAAATAATAATTTCTGAATATTTTTTAAAACGTAACTCGCTATGGAAAATAATATTCGAATTTCGAATTGATTGTTACTGAGTTGATCGCTCTTAAGGCTATGACAAGCCCAATTTAGTAGCATAGCAGCGGAATACTGGGAAATTTGGCATGTGTCCATTAGCAGTGAACCAAAAAAGTATGACGTTGCGTTAGAAAGGAAAAATACTTCAAAAAATCCTTTTTAAAATATTAAAAAGTAAGAAAAACACACTTCAGTAGAATAATTAGCCAAATACTGTTAAATACAATTACTAATTTTAATCTACACCATTTTTTAATACAATAAATAATTATTTTCAATTACGTATTATAAGTTACAGTCATAATCTTGGATTGTATGAGACACTTTTCTTCATAAAAATTGTCAGGCAGCGCTTTCAAATAACAATCCATCTTACTCTGTCTTTACTCTATTGTTGCATTGTTATTTCTCTAATCAGCTAATAAAAAAGAAATATCTTTAGTTGAAAATCACAAAAATAAGAAAAAAATGTCATACAAAAATTCCACAAAATAGTTTTTAGTCAGTTTAATAAATTTAATTAAATATTCTAAATATCTTAAGAGTGACTGAAATAAACTTCTCAGCTGAATAATAGTAAGCCGAAACCCGAAATAATTGAAATAATATTAAAGTTAATTGGATACGGCACTTTATATCCGATTTTGTTTCAAACGGAGCTAAAATTAGAGAATATTTTATTAAAGCTAAAAATAAACCTTAATTACACGCGGACCCGTATTATCTTAGGACTTAAGTGTTGTTTTGGTTTCGAGTAAAGGATTTAATGAGGAGTATTAGTATGTAATCAATTTTGTATTAAAACATGATGAATTTGTTGATACAAAATTTCCATTACGGCTAAATAAACATTTAAACAAAGATATACACTATCGGACAAAAGTAGAGCAACAAAGTTCATTTTTATTCATGTTTGAATAAAAAAAATATTAGGTTGTGATTTTCGGCTATGTTTACTAACACACTATCCTTACACTATTACTATAGTACTATTTTAGTACTAGTACTATAGTAATAATAATAATGATAATAAAAATTGATGAGAATGGGGGCGATAAAAGTAGAGCAACAAATTTTATTCAACAATTTTATTGTGTCTTATTTCAACAAAAAATATTTAACACATTTAAGAACAATAATAATTGAAAGTAATACATTAGTAATTGATAGAATATCCATAATTATTAATACATTGCTGACAATGGCGCGGCATTGAAGCAATTAACTTCTGAATGACATTTTCGGGAAGATTTGTCCAAAGTTCATTAATTTTATCTATCAAGGATTGTTTATTTGGAAATATTTGGGTACAAATACGACGTTCTACTTCTTCCCAGAGATGGGGTTAAGGTCTGGGGATTTTGCTGGCCATTGCAAAACTGGAACGTCATTTTCCCTAAACCACTGTTGAACAACTTGTGAAGAGTGTTTTGGATCGTTGTCCTTTTGGAAAATAAAACGCAGTGGCATTTCCCATTCTGCATAAGGAAGCATAATATTCTGCATGATATCCCTATAAACAAATCGATCCATCGGGCCATTAATAAAGTGTATAGGGCCTATCCCATTCCATGAGAAACAACCCCATAAAAATACACTGCCTTTACCGTGTTTAATTGTAGATGTTACGTATTTAGGATTAAACCTTGTATTGATTTGTCGCCTCACACATCTCATTCCATCAGAATTGGATTTTGTAGCGCGTTTCATCACTGAAAGAACTATTTTCCAGTCATTAACGGTCCAGTTTAAATGCCGACGTGCGAATCCCAACCTCGCTGCTCTATTTCTCTTTTCTGCTCCTAAATAACTTTGCATCTACTAATCTTCTTTGTACTGTTCGTATACCAACCGTAATTTCTGGAATTTCGGCAATAATTCTAGGTGCGGACTTCCAAGGATCATTTTGAGCAATTCTTTTGATGCGTCTATCGGTCATTACTGTTGTTTTCTTTGGCCTTTCCGATTTTGGCAACTTTTCTAAGTGTCCCCTGTTATTATACGATGAAATTATTTTAGATACACTGTACCGGGGTAACACAAACTGTCTTGAAATATTGGCTTGTTTGTTACCTTCCATGAATGCATTCACAACTCTTTGCTTCAAGTCTTTGGAAATTGAAATTCCTCTTGGCATGACTAATCCAGCATAGAAATGTTTAAAAAAACATAAAATAAACCTCGCACTATTATTTTGGTCTTTACTTTTGCTAAAACCCTTCTTTGGAATGAATTATTTGAATGTTGCTCTACTTTTGACGCGTTACTATTAAGCCTTTAAAACTAAATGTCAAAATAAAATAATTTGTTTTGTTAGTAAAAATTCTTATTGTCATCGATACTCATAGCCTGCTTCGTAGTTTTTAAATTTATTGTATTTGTATACATTATCATGCATGGTATAATTAAAAAATCGCGATTTGCAAATATTTCTCGAAGTGTTGCTCTACCTTTGTCCGATGGTGTATAATAATTTCTTCAAAAAATCCTATATGGGTA